CACTGGCTACTCTTGCAGAGGACCTGTGTTCAATTCCCAGCACCCACATGGTGGCTAATAACCATCTGAAACTCCAGTTCCAGAGGATCCAGTGCCCTCTCTTGGCATTGTATGCCTTCTATGGGCATTGTATGACATGGGTGCACTTACATACATGCAGGCACTACTCATGCACATAAAATAATAAATTCAATATTTTAAATACAAGCAAAGGGTAGTTAATTATGGTGCTTTTCTGTTTGACTCACAGAACTAGCTAAAATTAATGCTTAGAAAGTCTTCCACGTCACCGGGGTCTTGAAACCCTGATTGAGGTAAACCAAAGCGTCTGTATGCACTTGCTGGTCACAGGAGCCTAGATCCGGGCCATGATTGATGTGTCTCTTGGGGTGGAAGCCGCTGTTACTGTGTTCAACTTTCCCATTCCTCTTTATCCTGATGGCAGCATTTTTGTGTCTGTAAAACACTGTTGTACATGAAGTACACAGTAAGGCTGGGAAGTCCTATCTCACATGAATTACAAAGTTATTTAGTCTTAACAAGGCAGAATTTTCTTAAAGAAGTGGGAGGCAACTCTCAAAGTATTTTTAAAGTTAGCTAAGCAGGAATCTGCTTCCTGAAAGGGACTTTTAGTTAGGCAGCCTTCTGGGATGTCTAAGCTTGTACATAGTTAGGGGTCGGAACCATTTGGGGTTATTCTTCCAGAAGCGTTCAGTAAGATTCAAATGCATGACCTGGACTAGTAACCCACTAGCTGAGAGCCGCTGTCATGTTAGTTAACAACTGAATTGACTATGTCTTTGTTAGAGTCTGAGAAAATGGCTCAGCAGTGGGTGATGGTTTGATCCACCAGTGGATACTGTGATCATGGGCAGAGACAGTCAGAAGTCCTCAGCTTGTTATGAACTTGAACTCCTGCCTGGATGGAGGATGTAGATGTTGTGTGAAGGTGCACTTGGAGAGTAGGCATACACGGGCACATACATGTACACACATTTCTCTGGACTCATGGCACACTGGAGCTTTTGTGGTGGAGGCAGACAAATAGGCATGTCCAGAAGGGGCTATGAGTCTGGTACCAGAAGCAAGGGCTGACCAGCAACTCACCTGCAGAACCATCAGGAGAAGATAACACTTCTGGTCTGGGTTTTGGGGAGGGGAGTGGACACAGGGAGAGGCTGGTCATCAGGGCCCACTGTGCTGCCGGGTGGGGCTTGGTGGGGACTGACAGTACCCTGGTGGCTCAGCAAAATTAGGAGTATTGGTGACAGCACAGAGGACAGAGGTCAGCTTGTACTAGGCTTCAGGCTGTGAGATCACTGAATTGTGTGAACTCTGAGATCATCTAGTGACACAATTCTCAGCATTTTGGGGACAGCAGAGTCCTATTTTAAAATCATATCATATAAGTCTCAATAAGAAAACAGTATCTAACCCAGCTCTGTGTGTATGTGTGTGTGTGTGTGTGTGTGTGTGTGTGTGTGTGTAAGGCCTGGAGTTCCCAAGGACATAGCCTGAGTAGTCCTACCAGAGAGCTGGAGCTGGGCACTGCCTGGCTGGTGAGAGGCAGGGGTGACCAGCAGCTCTTTGTGGGAACTGAGCTCCTGTGGGTACCATGGATTCTCTGGGTAAGCTCATTCCAGTGATTCAGTTAGCCCAGATTTGCCGGCAAGGTCTAAAAACTTCAGAGTAGAGGAATTTCTATAGCATCTTGGTTCCATTTAGACTAATTTCTGGTGGTCACATGTGAGATGCTGAAACTTCAGAGTAGAGGAATTTCTATAGCATCTTGGTTCCATTTAGACTAATTTCTGGTGGTCACATGTGAGATGCTGTCTGCACGGTAGCATCTATAGCTCATTCTGTGTGTGGTAACGGTCACTGTGTAGTTCATAAACTTTAAGCCTCACGTTAGTTTTCGCTCTGGAGTTACTGAGGAGGAGCTAACTTGAGTTTCACCTCTCTGTAGCCGTACATCTTGGAAAGTATTAGTCTGTGGCAACACGCTCACGTGGTAACCTGAGGAAAGCTCCCAGAGCCCTGAGGTTCTAGGCTACTTTTCTGGCCTTCCTCAGCTCCTGTCTCCTGCAGTGTGCACAGTGTTCGTGCTGATGACCTAGGCTTAACTCAGACCTTTGCCAGTCTTCTGCTTTAAGTTATAGCCATGGCCAACCCCATGGTCTATGGTTCACACATGGCCAAAGATAGCCCAGCATAAAATAAATGATTTTTTGTTTTGTTTTGTGAATCAGTTGCAGTTCTTAGGCATGAACTTTATAGATGGTATCCTTGCTCAACGTCCAAAGGTTGGACACACTTGATAGGCGCCAGGACTTTCTGTTGTACTGTAAAAAGACCTCATATCTACCACGGACTGAACTTGTAGTTGCCTCCCATCTGGACTGATGGTGCTTTGCACCCACTCCTCTGCCCTTCAGGGTCATTGCCTTCCACCTCACAGATCAGACTCTGGGAACGTTTGATGATAAGCACATGATCGCTGTCTCCTAGTTATGACTTTCCCACAGCCTTCCGATGTTTGTACTTCTAAACTGAAATGAGGCATTATTAGCCTTACTGATATGTTCAGTGTTGATGCTGAGAGCACAGGCCACCAGTCCTCCCCAGGGATGTTTGATGACCTCTGTAGTCCTTCCCTGGAAACTTCTATTATTACTGTTGTTAAATCTTTATTGCCAGAGATGGCAGCCACAAACAACCCCAGTAATAAAGTACTCCTGACAGAGCCATCGCAATAGTGGAAGTCTGTCTCTACTATGGCAGCCTAATAAAGTACTCCTGACAGAGCCATCGCAATAGTGGAAGTCTGTCTCTACTATGGCAGCCTTAGGTTGTAGGCAGTCATTTATATGAATGGATCCCAAGGATCAGTATATTAAATAACCTGCATTCATCTCCCCAGAGGAGATGATACCTCTGGGGCTCCTAGATCAAGGCAAGACAGTGATGCAAACTCCCACATAGGACTCACATCACTTAGCCAGGCCTTTGACTCAACAGATAACAGTTCTTACGTGCGACCATCTCTCTCACTGATTGATAGGGCTGTGGGACTCCTTCCGAAGCTGGGAAATGCAGCAGTTTGGATGACATCCAAATGTCTGGGCTTCGAGCTGAGTCCAAGGGGGTCCTGCTTGGTAGAAGAGTGATTCCAAGCATAGGCTAGCTTTGGTAGATCACAGACCTCGCACCTGAGAGCTGGGCATAGGGAGCGTGGGCACACTACTGCTCTGCCAAGTTTGGGCCCTTTTCCAACATAATTCAGACATAACGAAATGAGCCCAGACTGATCTCTCGGAGAGCTGGCTCTAGTCTAGGATCATTCAGCCTTTGCTAATTTGGCCCCATCACCTGCTGTGCCTGTGACTGACATAACTTCCTGCACTTTGAGGATGTTGCATATGGATGCACACATGCATGCTCTGCCCCCATCCATTTGGGAGAGTGGGGTTGAACCTACCTGAAGCAGGCAGGCAAATGCCATCGGTAGGAGGCAACAGTAGGGATGTGTGATGGGAAAAGAGCAGAACAGATGTCGTGGTTCAGCCTCAGATCAGAGTTACCTTCAGAATGCAAGAAGAGCCTAAACTTTGTTTAGAGCTGGATGCAGAAGATCCTTGCTTTGGAGTCTTTCTGTCAGGCCTTGAGGTTCAATGCAATGTCCTTGACAAAAAGCCAGTGCAGCAATTAAGATGCCTCTTAATGGTTCATGTCCTCATCGGTCCACCATGAAAGAAGGGAGCAGATGTTAGTCCACAGCAGGGAGGACCCTAGAGCTGCTTCAGAGACTTGAGATGGCCCCTCCTGCAGGCCTAGCGGAGGACCTGAGGGCCAGGGCTCCAGAGAGGCATCCATGGGACCTCAGGATCCTCTGCCTGAGCTGCCTAGGGACTCTGCTCCCACAGCCTGGAGAAGTGGCAATCCAGCACCCCAGCCATGGTTCAGGGACCTGGGTCAGCTCAGGTCCTTGCTCAGAGGCACGGGTGCAGAACCGGGCAGCACTCACATGGTGCAGATCCTGCCAGTACACAGGGTCCTCGAGCTGTGGGCCCATGGTGACCCCCACCTAGGTTCCAAGGAGTGTTGCAGACAGCCCAGGGCCTGGGCAAACACCTGCCACAGAGACACAGCTGCTGCTGAATCCCACCAGGGCGGGGCCTCGTGGAGCCGCAGGAGAGGAACTGATATTGAGAGCTATGGACCCACCACGTGCTCCCCAGCTTGGAGAGCTGTGGGACTGGGCCAGTGAACTGAGGGGCGGAGCTACCTGGAGTCCAGAGCAGCATGTGGAGTTTGAAGAGTTCATGGCATCTGCTTATGAGGCCTGATACCTTCCCTTCCTTACCTGTTTCCTCTTTGGGGGGTGTAACTATTCTTGCTGGGCCCACTCCTCCATTGGGATTGGGACCAAGCGGCCTCATTTGACTGCAGGCTCACAGTGGGGAGACTCTGCCTTCCAGAGCCTCATCCATGTTTGTTTGGGAGAGACTCTGAAGTGGGGCTTTTGAGTTGATGCTGAAGTGAGTTAGGACTTTGGGATTATTGATGGAGTAAATGCTCATAAGACTAAGTTTTGTGTCCTAGGGGTAGGATGCTGTGCTTTCATGTGACCCCCAAAGTTGATGCATTAGAAACTGTTTTAGTTATTTTTTCTTATTGCTGTGACAAAATACCTGAAAAAGGTAACTTAGAGAAGAAAGGGTATTCTAGTTGTGATAAAATATGCTGAGCAAAAGCAGCTTAGGGAAGGAAAAGGTTTGTTTCAGTTTACACTTCCAGGTCCCTGAGCTCAGTTGGGAAGTGAGGAAGAAGCCATGGAGGAATGTTTTCAGGCTGGCTTGTGTCTCCTCTCAGTCAGCTTTCCTCTCACAGTCTTGGCCATAAGCCAATCTGATCTGGGGAATTCCTCAGCTGAGGCTCCCTCTTGCCAGGTGACTCTAGGTTGTGTCAGGTTGAAAGTAAATACTAGCCCAGCACGTAAGACTATACTTTCAGGGATCATTTGTGCAGTTCGTCACTGGAGATGTTTCTCTGACTGTGTAGAGTACCAGAAACCACGAGGAGGAGCCGTAACATTCTGTCCTGAGCGTGAAGCTGGCTCTTGGTGTTGCTTTGCTGCAACTGCCATCGGTCATTGATGATGGTTCTTCTCTCCTTTGGGAGAGTAGAGGGAGAGGATGCGGTCTGAGTGGTTAAAAAATAAACTAGCCACCACAAAGGGCTCACTTTGGCTCGTAGTTCGAGGGCACAGTCTGCCACAGCGGGGAAGGAACGCAGCAGAGGTCTGAAAAGTGAGGCATCTCAAGGTGCTGAAAGCTGCCAGTGCAATGTCACTTCTCTGCATGCTATGAGGCCGTAAGGAAAGGTGAAGCCCATCCTAGGCCTGCCCATAGAAGCGCCTACTTCCTCAGTTTTGTGAAAGGACATGAACACATGCCGCTCTGCTGTCGCAGTGCCCGTGGCCACTGAGAGAGCTCCTGAGGCAGATCTTACCCCAGCACTGCCGGTAGGTCATGGGAATTCCTTACATGCCAGGCAGCTCTCTGTGGCTGTGACAAGCAACGAAGACAAAGCAGCTGAGGGAGGGAAGGTTCTTCTGCCTCTGGGTCTCAGAGGTTCTGGTCCATGGCATGTTGACTCTGTATTCAGTAACAGCAAAGCTGCTCATGGCAACTGGGGGGAAGGGAGATGGGTTGCCCAGCATCCCCTTTAGTAGCCATGCCCCCAGAGATCTACCTTCCTTCTACTAGCCCCACCCCCTGACACACTCCAACCCTCCCAATGGCACCATAGCTAGAGACCAAGCCTTCAGCATCAGCCATGAGGAACCTGAAGACCTAAATCATAGTGTCTTCGGAGCACACGTTTTCAAGTCTGGAAACTCGGAATCTGTGGGACCAATAGGATGTTGTGTAGACCTTCCATCTGTTTCATTTTCTACTTTGGACAAAAAAGAATAAAATACCACTTAAATTTTTTGTTTATAGAGCAAAATTTATTTATTTTTATTTAAAAGATTGTTATTTTCAATTTTATGTGTACAAGTGTATTGCCTGCATATATGTAAGTGCACCCACGTCATGCAATGCCTGAGGAGGTCAGAAGAGGGAATTGAATTCCCCCAGAACTGGAGTTACAGAGGTTGTAAGCAGTCATGTGGGTGCTAGAATTCGAACCCTGGTCCTCTGCAAGAACAGCCAGTGCTCTTAACCACTGAGCCATCTCTCCCTAGAGAAAAATTTATAATCACATTAAGATCCTTGTTACCACGTAAAGTTCTCAAGGGCAGGTTGCTCATGGCTGCTCATAGTTCATAGCCAGTGTAGCTGGTGCATGGCTAGGATTTGGTGCAATATCTGTGGGATGACTGTGGTGACAGTAAGTCTCAGTGGGCGTCTAGGTGGAAGGTTGCAGGGATATGTGATTATCATCATGGTGGAACCAGGAACACTGAGGGGACACAGAAGCCAGTGAGGAGGGTGAAGGATCACTCACTCAGACCTCTCCAGGGTCCTCCAAAGCTATGCTGCTGCTACCAAATGCTGTTAGAAATATCACTCCCTAATTTTGCACATGTACCACATAAAAATTTAAGGTCCCTAAATCGCCAAGGAAGACTACCTGGTAAGTATGGAAGCTTTAAATTCATACCTGTAAAAACGGTATTTAAACCCTTCACGTGAGTCTGTGTGTGACAGATACTTGGCCGTTTGCCTGCTTTTTTGTGTTCACTGAGCTCTGTGCCAGTGGACACAGATGTGCCTGCTGTCTCCTCAGCTTCCAAGCACTAGTATTTGGCAAGGACAGGAAACTGTTATGTAATGAGTCCCCCAGCCCCCTTCTCAAGTTTAGCCTAAAGTCTTTTTAGTTTGAATCCGAAACCTTTGTAGAGAGCCAGAGTGCTTTACTGAGTTACATTTCTATTAGACTGCATTTAGGGAATACCAGCCGGTAGGGAATTTGTGTGTGTAGTTGCATGTGCTGTGTGCATGTGTGCATGCACATATATATACACAAACATGTATATACACATAAGACTTAAATGAATAACGTTTTGCAAAATTAACAATTCTTTAAGTAAATATGATTGTATTTCTAATTGCTTTTTATACCCTTGAAAAGGTGACAGCTGTTTCAGTTCTGTGTCAAGGCCATTTTAGATCACAGAACTGAGGAGCATATCTGTGAATCCAGCAGCCAGTCTGGCGCACACAGTGGAGGTCTTGTTCTGGCTCTAGCCGGCACACTGAGCAGTTGATCTTGGCCCACCGTTTTTTATGGAGCTGTTGCCTCCATTGTAGACTCAAAATGGCATCCACATGTCTGAGCTACAACCTTCAACCAGAACCCTCCTAAAGTACCAACAGCGATTTGGGGGAACAGGGCTTTTAGCTCTCTTGTGCTTGAGAAAAACTTGCCTAAACAGCTAAGTTGTAGGACTGTCAAGCGCATCACCAAGCTGCTGTGCACTAGGCTCCCCAAGGAACCTGGCTCCTGGAACTGACTCCATTCGTGGACGTCTGGTTTTCCCGGGTTCCTGTTGGCATCTATCTGGATGGAAGAGTCCATAGAGCCATAGAGGTGTGGATGAAAAGTGCTCCTCTTCCTCAAGCCTTTCTCCCCTGGTCATTTGCAAAATGTTTTGTCCCTTAGGGTCTTCGTGTTAGAGATCCTGACCCCTTGATCATGATGTTTCATTCTGGAACCCAGATGGCATTTAAAGTGTATGTGGCATCCAGTCAGGAGGTGCTAGGGAAGTGCTCACACCCATGTTGCTCAGTGCTTGGTGCTAAGTGAGCTGGTGTTTCTCCAGCTGCCCAGATGTAGGCCTGTGACTCCCCTGGTTCCATTACTTCCTCCTTTGTTCCTGGGGCCCGTCCACAGAGATGTAACCCAGGCCATGTGCTGTGCCCACAGATGGCATGCCAGCAGAATATCCTTGTCTGAGCTACAAGCACGTGACTCTGGAAATTCTGCTGCGTGGAGTGCTGGCTGTACTCGGTCCAGCTGGGGTCTTGTTGCATCTGTCTTTGGGGAAGTCTCTGGAGTACTTACTTGTGACTAGAATGGTGGAACATTCCTCTGCTTCTGACCACGTGCGAGGTCCAGGGAAACAAGTTGCTCCTTGTCCAGGACATGGCTTCTATCCATTCTACTTCATAACCTGGCCACAGGTCAGTTGCCTGCATGGGCCACGTCTTTCCTCACACAGAGGCCCCACAGGAGGTACTCGACGCAGGCTGTGCAGCGAGAGCACTAGATTCTTTTTTCAGCAGCCCCCCGAGGTCGCGTGCTCAGCCTTAAGCAGAGCAGATGGGACGCAGTGCTTGTTTCCAGTGCACGTGTCCTATGGGAGCCACTTCTGTGTCTGGGCAAAGGCCTCCTTTATTATAACCAAAATGGGCCTTCTTCGACCAGTCCCTGTGACAGTCCTGACACAGTCTTGCAGGAGGGACTCCTGCTTCTGTCTGACAGGCCTGCAGTTCGGGAAAGAGCTGGCTGGTTTGTGCTTGGCTTTTGTTTCTTGTACCTTCCCCAGTTTGTCTTAGCGTGCAGTGAAGGTCTTCTCACGTCCCAGCTGCCTGCCTATGCTTGCAACACAGTGATCAGACTTTTCAGTCGTGGTGATCAGCAGTGACCCTCATCGATCCTGTAATAGCCATCACTGATCCTGTGTGGCCAGAATTGCTCCTATGTGGCCACCTTAGCCCTGTGAGGCCATCTCCACCCTGTGCAGACAGCATTGACCTTGTGTGGTTATCTCAGCCTTGTATGGCCAACTCTACGTGGACAGCATTGACTCTGGGTGGCAAGTGCGATCCTGGGTGGCTTATTCTGCCCTATGTAGCCATCTTGTCCCTGGGTGGCCAGCCCAGGCCCTCCACTGAACATAGGAGGGGCTGGGCCACAGACAGTCTTTGCATGGCCTCCCTCATAGCAACTCATTCAGCCCATATTAATTAAGTGCTTGGTGTTGCTGGTTACTGAGCATGGGACGCTGAGCAAATGAGCTCAGCTCTAAGAAGGAGGCGCTCAACCTTCCCTCACCTAGTGGGCCATACTCAAATGCTCTCACAAAACTCTCTAATCCTGTAACAACACTCCTTGCAATCATTCATTTTCCCTGGGTTCTTAAGTACTGCAACCAAGCTTTCCAAAGGCCTGATATTTTATATAAAGTTAGTTTCTACTATTTATTTTTAGCTTGTCAGTTTGCAAACCATGTGCTGTTTGTCCTCAGCTTTGTCACGAATGCACTTGATGAACAAACTTTTTAATAGTTAAGCCAAATTGTTGGTACAAATGTCTGTCTGCCCGTGGTCCTATGTGGAGCCTTGTGGCAGACCTGGACATTTCCCTCCACGGAGATGCCAAATGCCCATGGACCTTTCATATGATCTGTTATCCCTGTTACGCTGGGAGCTTGAAAATAAGAATCCATTTAATGGTGGATGATGGTTATGGTTTGTGGTGCTATTTTGGTAGAGGGACACATTAGAAGGTAGGGCCTAGCTAGAGGGGGGATGTCACTGAGAGAGCCCCTGGAAATCACACCTTTTCCCCGGCTTCTCTGTTTCCTGGCCTCTGTGAGGTGAGCATCTTTGCTCTGTCATACCCTCTGCTGTGAGGCTTCACCTTCCCACAGGCCAAGTGACTGGTTCGAAATCTCCGAACCTGTGAGCTCAAAGTAAATCCTTTGCCCTTTAATTTGATTGCTCAGTTATCTGTCAGCTCAATGAAGAACTGACAGTCGCTTTAATTAGACGTCAGGTGGTTTGTGCTCATTGACTGTTTGTTAGTCTATTGTAACAGGGCTCTAGGGTATAGAGCAATCAATGGAATCTCATACATTGCCCAGTAAATGTGTGCTGTCTTTGCTCAGGGAGAGGGAGACGTAATGGAGACCACCATCACTGTCATGAGGGGGATGGCCACACTCCCACCCAAGCCTGGACCCTTTCCTGGATATTCAGAAGAAGCCAGAAACTTCACAGCGTAGTGTGTTCAGAAACCAGAAGTTGGGGTCTGAGGGAGAGTTTCTATAAGAGATTAATTCCAAAGATACAGTTATTAGTGGACAAGCCAAACCGCCAAGGTAAAGTTTAGATCCTTCTAGTTACAATTGAGCTGGAGGAATTCAGAGCCTTGTTCAATGGGAAGAGACTTGGTTTCCAGCCCAAGAGCTGAGTTTG